TATAAAGAGGTAAGGAAATAATGGAATAAGGTAAAAAGGGAGATGCAACGAGAGAGTATGGATATAACGCACTAAGACTGTAAGGGTGAGTGCTCTTTAAGAGCGAGAAAGGGAAACGCTACCAGGATGTAAAGCGATTAGATGGTAAGACTAGAGTTTTGAGAGCATATGTTAAAGAAAAAGCATTGCCGTGCAGTATGCACGGGTTCTCGCTAGTTATTAATAAATCATTTGATGTATCGATGGCTTATTAAATGTGAACTGGGAGTTACTTATGAAAAAGCTTTCATGATTTTTTTAATTCTTGTACAATATCATATGTGTCTGATACTCCAATGGTTTTTGTTCGAATTTTAACTCAAGATGAATATACATTAGAATCATTTGCCAATTTTCCACCATTTAGTTTATCAGTACAAGAATTTTGGACTCGGAGATACAGTCGAATTGCTCACACAATTTTAAAAGAATCAATTTATAAGCCGATTCGATTAGAATTTTCATCTTCAGCTATTGCATTCTTGATAACATTTATTATAAGTGGTATTTTTCATGCTCATATGGGTATGGTTGCTTTTGGGGATATGTCGTCACTAGTTTCAATCTTCATGTTTTTCCTTTTACATGGCATTGCTTGTTATCTTGAACCAACAATAAAAAATCAAATTCCTAAATATATCCGATGGATACTCACACAAATGTTTTTAGTTATTACATCATCATTCATGTTCGGACCATTTATAGAAAAAGGATGCCCATTTTTTGAAAATAATCCTCCACCATTATTTAATATGGAATGGACACCAAAACAACCCGTACCTGATTTTTGTCCACGCTAAATTATTTAAAAATATGCCTGATGCAAGAAGACAAAACAAAAAACTTTATTATTTTCATCAATTCATGTATAATATTCAAGGGGGAAACAGCTGATTAGGGATCCAATAATCATCCTAATCACCCCTAATCACTCCTAATCATCCCTAATCACTCCTAATCATCCCTAATCACTCCTAATCGTCGCTAATCACTCCTAATCACCCATAATCATACCTAATCACTTCTAATCACCCCTGATCATACCTAATCACTACTAATTAGGGATGCAACGGTGACGATCAATAATCCCTTAATCGTAAACGATTAATCGGTCCGAAACGAAAATCGGTATGACCGATTAAGAGATCCCACGGTAATCGCTTAGACCGATGAAACGATTAAACGGTAACCGGTCTGACCAATCAAACGATTAAACGGCAACGGGTCGAATCGATTGACCGAATAAATGAAAATCGGTTGGTACGAACAAACGATTTAAACCATATTGATCTAAATACCGCTATTTGCAAAGGTGCCATGGAATTACCTATATATCCTCAACACCTACACTATAGGACAGGACCTAGGGACCCATCGGTACTA